CATTATTATAGATATTCTTGAGCACTCTATGCTTGCTTTTAAGGACAATAATAGTCCTACTTCTGGGTAGGGTGTGTTGGTGATAGATGGCTGAGGAGGTGAGTGAGCTGGGATATTGGATGGGAAGAGGATGAGGAAGGGGAAAAGGAAGGGAGCTCCCAGAAAGGTGTGGTGGCTCACACCTGTAATCCCAGCACTTTGAGCTGAGGTGGGAGGATCACTTGAGCCCAAGAATTTGAGGCCAGTCTGGGCAACATAGAGAGATGCTGTCTCTACAAAAATAGTAGTGGTATGCGCCTGTAGTTTCAGCTACTTGGGAGTCTGAGGTGGGAGAATCACTTGAGCCCAGGAGGTCGAGGCTACAGTGAGATATGATCGCACTACTGCACTCCAGCCTGGGTGACAGAGTGAGACTCATTGTTTATTTTTAATTAAAAATAAAAAGAGTCAGGCCGGGCACAGTCAGGCTCACACCTGTAATCCCAGCACTTTGGGAGGAAGAGGTGGGTGGATCACAAGGTCAGGAGTTTGAGACCAGCCTGGCCAACATGGTGATACCCCATCTCTACTAAAAACACAAAAATTAGCCGGGCATTGTGGTAGGCGCTGTAATTCCAGCTACTCAGGAGGCTGAGGCAGGAGAATTGCTTTAACCTGGGAAGCAGAGGTTGCAGTGAGCCGAGATCGCACCATTGCACTCCAGCCTGGGCAACAAGAGCCAAATTCCGTCTCAAAAAATAATAATAATAAAATAATAAAATAAAAAACAAATAAAATAAAATAAAATAGTCCAGGCGTGGTGGCTCACGCCTGTAATCCCAGCACTTTGGAAGGCCGAGGCGGGCAGATCACAAGGTCAGGAGATCTAGATCATCCTGGCTTACATGGTGAAACCCCGTCTCTACTAAAAATACAAAAAAATTAGCCGGGCGTGGTGGCAGGCGCCTGTAGTCCCAGCTACTTGGGAGGCTGAGGCAGGAGAATGGCGTGAAGCCAGGAGGCAGAGCTTGCAGCGAGCTGAGATTGTGCCACCACACTCCAGCCTGGGTGACAGAGCAAGACTCCATCTCAAATAAATAAATAAATAAATAAATAATAAAAATAAAAAAGAGAACTCCCCCCACCTCCCTAAGGTGTCCAAGCCCTGAGGAGACCACCTCCCCAGGAACCAGGTCAGGCATCCAGATAGAACTGATTTGTAAGTTCTTGACCAGGTGTGGTGGCTCACACCTGTAATCCCAGCACTTTGGGAGGCCGAGATGGGCGGATCACTTGAGGTCGGGAGTTCAGGACCAACCTGGCCAACATGGCAAAACCCCACCTCTACTAAAAATACAAAAATTAGCCAAGCGTGGTGGTTCACACCTATAATCCCAGCTACTCAGGAGGATGAGGCACAATAATTGCTTGAACCCGGGAGGTAGAGGTTGTAGTGATCACCTGAGGTTAGGAGTTCGAGACCAGCCTGAACAACATGGAGAAACCCCATCTCTACTAAAAATACAAAATTAGTCGGGCAGGGGGGCGCATTCCTGTAATCCTAGCCACCCGGGAGGCTGAGGCGGGAGGATTGCTTGAACCCGGGAGGCGGAGGTTGTAGTCAGCTGAGACAGCACTACTGCACTCCAGCGTGAGCAATAGAGCAAGACTCAGCTTCAAAAGAAAAAAATAAAAAGAATAAGAAATAATCCGTTTTGTGTATCAGAAAAAGAGAAAGGAACTCCCAGGCCCCTTGGCACTGTCAGAATCATGTCCCCAACTCTCCAGATCATCAAACACATAAATGAGGATGACAAAGAGTATCGAAAAAGGGACCACAGAAGTGCTCATGTCTCTTTCTTACTTTTATTTTGACTCTAACTTCTAGATGTGCTGGGGCTTCTTACTCTGGTGTTCATTGGGCTACCAAGAGACAAGAATCCATCCAGGGGCTAAATACAAAGCCAGTCAGGGCAGGCACGGTGGATCACACCTGTAATCCCTGCACTTTGGGAGGCCGAGGTAGGCGGATCATGAGGTCAGGAGTTTGAAACCAGCCTGGCCAACATAGTGAAACCTCGTCTCTACTAAAAATTAAAAAATTGGCTGGGCATGGTGGCACGTGCCTGTAGTCCCAGCTACTTGGGAGGCTGAGGCAGGAGAATTGCTTGAACCCAGGAGGTGGAGGTTGTGGTGAGCCGAGATCGTGCCACTGCACTCCAGCCCAGACAACAGAGTGAGACTCTGTCTCAGAAAGAAAAATAAAAAAAAAAAAAAGCCAGTCAAAGGCCTTCAACCCCGATCTGTACACAATACACAATATTGTACACAATATTTGCCAAATATGGGCTTTTCCTTCTTCATTACAGGATTAATACATGCTCATTTGCAAATAAATTAGAAAACATAGATAAACAACAAGAAGAAGTATATGGTAAGTTTGTATCATTTTCCTCAAAAATATGACAAGTTAAATAAAGTATGTTCTGAAAATTTGCTCCTGTCATTAAAACCTTTTTCTGCTGCCCAATTTGTAATGGCTGTAGAATGCTGTGTTGGAGACATATATCTCCAGTCTCCTATCATTACACATGGAGGTTGTTTCTGTTTATAAATAACATCAATAAGACCATTCTTATAACAAAATCCTTGCTAGGCGCTTTAGTTATTTCAGGATACATTTCTAGATGTGGACTTGCTGAGTCAAAGGGAACAGACTTTTGACTATATTGCCAAAATACAGATGGGCCTATTTAGAGTTAGATTTTAGGAGTCAAGTTAGGAGATAAAGTTGATGGGAGGTTGAGAGGGGTAGGCATGAGGAAAAGAAGTCAGCCTGGGTTTGCAGCTATTCCAAGGAGCTCTGGGAGATAAAACTAGAAAATAATCACGGGACCAGGTGCAGTGGCTCATGCCTGTAATCCCAGCACTTTGTGAGAGGCCGAGGCGGGCAGATCACCTGAGGCCAGGAATTCGAGACCAGCCTGGCCAACATAGCGAAACCCCATCTCTACTCAAAATACAAAAATTAGCCAGGTGGCCGGGAGCAGTGGCTCACACCTATAATCCCAGCACTTTGGGAGGCCGAGGCAGACGGATCACCTGAGGTCAGGAGTTCGAGACCAGCCTGGTCAACATAGTTCAGGAGTTCGAGACCAGCCTGGACAACATAATGAAACCCTGTCTCTACTAAAAATACAAAAATTAGCCGAGCATGGTGGCACACACCTGTAATCCCAGCTACTCTGGAGGCTGAGGCAGGAGAATTGCTTGAACCTGGGAGGCAGAGGGTGCAGTGAGCCAAGATTGAGCCACTGCACTCCAGCCTGGGTGACACAGCAAGACTCCGTCTTGGGCGGGGCGGGGAGGAAAATAATAATGCAATCAGATAGCCACCCCACTCTAGTTTTCCTGCATGTGGTTCCAGTCCCCCACCACCTAGGGCCCCCCAAGGGATCATTTAGCAGGGAAGGGAAACTTTCATCCCTGGGGACTGGGGAGTAAAATTGTCTTTATTTGGGACCAATGGTGCTAAACTAATGACCTAAACCATTCCATTCTGCTCTTCCCCAACATTTAGTTTCAGGAATTGTGTTAATGATTGATGTGTATTATCTAATTTAATTCTCACTGTTGGAAGTAAATGCTCGGTGCTGCAAAGTGAAAACAGCACTCAGGCAAAGTTTTCTCAGCAACGTAATTTACTTCTATAGAAGGGCACGTCTCGCGGATGGAGCAAACGCGAGAGCGCACAGGTTAAGGGGTTCTTATTCCTGACGCAGCTAGTCCCTACAGCTGTGTCTTTCCCCTATTGGCTAGGGTTGGACCGCACAGTCTAAGATAATGCCGATTGGCTATTTTAAAGAGATCGGGGAGGCAGGGTGAGCTGTTTCGGCGGGAAGGATGGTTACAGAGCAGGTGACTAAGGATGGCTAAGGACAGAGCAGCAGATGACTAAGGACAGAGCAAGTGACTAAGGATGACTAAAGACAGAGCAGGTGATAGAGGCTAGGAGGGGGTCGTTTACTGAAACTAGGGGCAAGGAGATTTAAAGAACCAAGAAGTTAAACTTTAAAATGGAGAACATCCGGGCGCAGTGGCTCAGGCCTGTAATCCCAACACTTTGGAAGGCCAAGGCGGGTGGTTCATGAGGTCAGGAGTTCGAGACCAGCCTGACCAACATGGTGAAACTCCGTCTCTACTAAAATACAAAAATTAGCCAGGCGTAGTGGTGGGCGCTTGTAACCTCAGCTACCTGGGAGGCTGAGGCGGGAGAATCTCTTGAAATCAGAAGGCGGAGGTTGCAGTGAGCCGAGATCGTGCCACTGCTCTCCAGCCTGGGCAACAACAAGAGTGAGAGTCCGTCTCAAAAAAAAAAAAAAGGGGGGGGGAGAACAAAGAACAGGGAAGCTGAACACAAGGACATACTGATTCTTTCAAGAGGAACTCAGAATTCATTGTACTTAACAATTTTCCACCTCTTGAATTTTAAAGGAGGTTAACAGGCTAAAACCTTTGAAGAGGAATCTATTGTATCCTACATCACGAAAGCCTGAGGGAGAAGGTGTCATGTTTAGTCCTAATTTATGGATAAGGAAACTGAAGCACAAAATAGATAAGTGACTTGGCCAAGGCCATGCAGCTAGCAAGTGGCTGAGACAGAGCTTTTTGTTTCACCCTCAGCCCCGCTGGTTGGGTTGCCTGGGTCAACCAGACCTGGCCACCCTGGGGAGAAATTGACAAAAGGGGTTGAAGCTGCAGCCTAGGCCATTTCCCAACCTTCTCAAAGAGCCACATTCTGGCCAGGGCCAGCAGCTGACCCTGGGATGAGGAAGGTGTGGACAGAGCCCCTTCTCAGCACTGGTAACCTTTGATATCTAGGTGGGTTGTCTAGCATGGCACCTGAAAGGATGGCAGGGTTGCTGGACTGGGAGGGACTGGGGATCTAATCTCTTTGTGACCTCAGGGGTGTCTTCAATAATTGGAGGGACAATGATTGATGGTGGGGGGTATTGAAAATCCCAGTTGTGTCGGGGGAGGGCGGAGATGAGGTGAGAGAGGAGCCCGAAGAAAACTCTTCAGATACAGAAGGACGGGGGGCCAAAGTGCCAACAGGAGGAAGAGATGGGGAGTACTGGTTTTGGAGCTCCAGCACGGGTATTTTGTTGCGTTATCATTCTGAGCAATTAAGGACCTTCCGCTTTCTTTTCCTTGTCTGTAACAGTATCTTCCACCCAGAATAGTTGTGAGGAGTTTGGTACCTAATAAACACTCAGTAAATGCAAGCTATTATTATTACAAAGTACTTAAGATGTGGCCCTGAGTGTGGTGAGCGCTGAGTCCCAAGGGGCCATTGTTATGCATTGCTTGGCCGCCTGTGGAGGCCCAGCCTAGACCCCCAGCTCAGGATGGAGTGATCAAACGAGGCCAGAAGATCCTGAATGTGAAAGCCCCTTAGGAGGCTCCAGGGATCCTGGGAGCCTAGCCAGGAAGGCCTTTCTGATGATTATTAGGCCCTAGACAGGGGCCCACTTCCAAGCTTGGCCAAATCATTCCTTCTCTAGAAAGGCTCAATGGTCCCCTGGGGCTTTGGCAGGAGACGTGTGAAAATCCCCAGTGGAATAGGGAAAGCCACATACCAAAGCCGGGCCAGGTGAGCCTTTCGTCCACCCGACCCCCAACCCCATCCCACGCCTGCCGCCTGTTGCCCCTCTCCCCAACCCCCACCATCGGCAGATAGTATCTGAGTCTCCAGCGATTGGTTCAGGGCAAAGAAAGAGTGGAAGGTGCCCCCAAGAGCACCCTCCTTGTGCTGCCCTCCCCTCCCCACGGAGTTTGACAGCCCATTCCTGGAACCAGGGAGAAAAGAGAAAAAGCTACAGGAGGGCCTTAAAAATGACCTCCTTGGCCGGGCGCGGTGGCTCAAGCCTGTAATCCCAGCACTTTGGGAGGCCGAGACGGGCGGATCACGAGGTCAGGAGATCGAGACCATCCTGGCTAACACGGTGAAACCCCGTCTCTACTAAAAAATACAAAAAACTAGCCGGGCGAGGTGGCGGGCGCCTGTAGTCCCAGCTACTCGGGAGGCTGAGACAGGAGAATGGCGTAAACCCGGGAGGCGGAGCTTGCAGTGAGCCGAGATCGCGCCACTGCACTCCAGCCTGGGTGACAGAGCCAGACTCCGTCTCAAAAAAAAAAAAAAAAAAAAAAAATGACCTCCTCTCACTATGGAACTCAAGTAAATGACCTGAAATGGCAGTAGGAGGGATTGCGATTAGACTGCCAGAGGGAATTTACTGACAGCAATGTTAAGTGAGCTACTTACGGAGAAGTTATAAAACCTTTTGTTAAAGAAGAATAATAGCTACCTAGTTAGGTGCCTAGTGCTCTTCATACATTTGCTTATCAGTGCCTACAACAATCCCACTGGGTAAGTGCCATTATTATTTCCATTTTACAGATAAAAACACTGGGATCAGAGATGGGGAAGCCACTTGCCCAATATTACTCAGCAAAATAAGTGGCAGTGCTGAGGCCTCCAGCCAGTAGGCAACCCTGCCTCTTAAACACACATATTCAGGGTCCAATTTAGAGCCTCCCACAATACCTCTCAATGATTCTTGTTTTTAATTTGCAGAATCTCTGGCCCCCCCTATAAGGCTGTGACCTAGGAGTACAGGCAAATGGGGATCCTGTTTGTCACTGCTACCATCGGCTGGGGGCTTCCAGTGAGTTACCAAAAGGACCCAAAGACCACTCAGAGCAGAAGCTCCTAGTGTCCCCCTTCCAGGGTCAGAAGCCCTCTTCAAAAGGGAAGCCAAAATGCATGAGACTATCACTCACAGTGGGTAGGAGAAAAGGAGGCAGGAACTGCACAAGCTTTGAAATTCATTTTGACCTTCTAACTCTCATGCTTAGGATTACCAGGAGTCTACATCCCCATTTTTACAAATGAAGAAACCAAACTTCAGAAAGATACAGGCATGCAAGTCTCTGAACAAGAAATACAAGTGGCCAATAAACTTATGAAAATTATGCCTGGGGCCAGGTGTGGTTGGCTTACGCCTGTAATCCCAGCAGTTTGGCAAGCCGAGGTGGGCAGATTGTCTGAGGTCAGGAGTTCAAGACCAGCCTGGCCAACATGATGAAACCCCATCTCTACTAAAAACACACAAAAAAATTATCCAGACGTGGTGGCATGCACCAGTAGTCCCAGCTCCTTGGGAGGCTGAGGCAGGAGAATTGCTTGAACCCAGAGGTGGAGGTTGCAGTGAGCTGAGATTGCATCACACACCACTGCACTCCAGCTTGGGTGACAGAGTGAGACTCCATCTCAAAAAAAAAAAAAGAAAAGAAAAGAAAAAGGAAAAAAGAAAAGAAAAGAATGCCTAGCCGGGCACTGTGGCGCATCCCTGTAATCCCAGCACTTTGGGAGGCCGAAGAGGGAGGATCACTTGAGCTCAGGAGTTTTAGAACAGCCTGGGCAAGAGTGTGGGACCTTGTCTCTACAAAAAAGATACAAAAGCAAAAACTAGCTGGGTATAGTGGAATGCACCTGTAATCCCAGCTACTCGGGAGATTTGCTTGAGCCCAGGAGGTTGAAGCTGCAATGAGCCTTGATCATGCCACTGCACTCCAGCCTGGGCAACAGAGCAAGATCCGGGTTGTTGTTGTGTTTTTTTTTTTTTTTTTTTTTTGAGACGGAGTCTCGCTCTGTCGCCCAGGCAGGAGTGCAGTGGCCAGATCTCAGCTCGCTGCAAGCTCCACCTCCTGGGTTCACGCCATTCTCCCGCCTCAGCCTCCCGAGTAGCTGGGACCACAGGCGCCCGCCACCTCGCCCGGCTAATTTTTTGTATTTTTTAGTAGAGACGGGGTTTCACCGTGTTAGCCAGGATGGTCTCGATCTCCTGACCTCGTGATCCGCCCATCTCAGCCTCCCAAAGTGCTGGGATTACAGGCTTGAGCCACCGCGCCCGGCCTGTTGTTGTTTTTTTAATTATGCGTGACCTCATTTATGATGAGGGATGTTTTGGGGGTGTGGGGAAACACTGTTGGTGGGGGATGTAAATCAGTACAACTTCCTTAGTAAACTATCTGTTAATATCTATAGAAAATTTAAGTTTGCATATCTTTTGACATGGCAATATTACATCTAGGAATTTATTCTACTTTTTTCTTTTTTTTTTTTGAGATGGAGTCTCACTCAGTCGCCCAGGCTGGAGTGCAGTGGCGCGATCTCGGCTCACTGCAAGCTCCGCCTCCTGGGTTCACGCCATTCTCCTGCCTCAGCCTCCTGAGTAGCTGGGACTACAGGTGCCCGCTGCCACGCCCGGCTAATTTTTTGTATTTTTAGTAGAGATGGGATTTCACTGAGTTAGCCAGGATGCTCTCGATCTCCTGACCTCATGATCCACCCGCCTCGGCCTCCCAAAGTGCTGGGATAACAGGTGTGAGCCACCGTGCCCAGCGTTTTTTTGTTTTGTTTTGTTTTGTTTTGTTTGAGATAGAGTTTTGCTCTGTTGCCCAGGCTGAAGTACAGTGGCACGATCTTGGCTCACTGCAACCTCCACCTTCCGGGTTCAAGCGATTCTCCTGCCTCAGCCTCCCAAGTAGCTGAGATTACAGGTGCCCGCAAGAACGCCCAGCTAGTTTTTGTATTTTTAGTGGAGGCAAGGTTTCACCATGTTGGGCACACTGGTCTCGAACTCCTGACCTCAAGGGATCAGCCTGCCTGGGCCTCCCAAAGTGCTGGGATTACAGGTGTGAACCACCACGCCCCGCCCCGTTCTACTATTTTTAATGGGCTAAAAAATGAACCTCAGCCAGGGCCAGTGGCTCACGCCGGTAATCCTAGCACTTTGGAAGGCCCAGGTGGGTGGATCACCTGAGATCAGGAGTTTGAGACCAGCCTGGCCAACATGGCGAAACCCTGTCTCTACTAAAAATCACAAAAATTAGCTGGGCGCGGTGGCACATGCCTGTAATCCCAGCTACTTGGAAGGCTGAGGCTGGAGAATCACTTGAACCCAGGAGGTGGAGGTTGCAGTAAGCCGAGATTGTGCCACTGGATTCCAGCCTGGGTGACAGAGCAAGACTCCATCTCAAAAAGAAAAAAAAAAAAAGAACCTCAACTCCTCAACTTAAATATCCTTCAATAGGGGATATACACACACATACATACTTTTCTGTATGTGTGTGAGATGGAGTCTCACTGTGTCCCCCAGATTGAGTGCGGTGGTGCAATCCCAGCTCACTGCAACCTCTGTGTAGAAAAAAAAATAAAAATCATTGAATCGTACACCTAAAATGAATGAAATTGATGGCATGTAAGTTATACCTCAAAAAAAAGGTTGGAAGGAAAAGAAAAGGGGCCGGGCGCGGTGTCTCACGCCTGTAATCCCCAGCACTTTGGGAGGCCGAGGCAGGTGGATCACCCGAGGTCAGGAGTTCAAGACTAGCCTGGCCAACATTGCGAGACCCTGTCTACTAAAAATACAAAAATTAGCTGTGCCTGGTGGCAGGCGCCTGTAATCCCAGCTACTTAGGAGGCTGAGGCAGGAGAATTGCTTGAACCAGGGAGGCGGAGGTTGCAGTGAGCTGAGATTGCGCCATTGCACTCCAGCCTGGGCAACAAGAGCGAAACTCCGTCTCAAAAAAAAAAAAAAGAAAAGAAAAGGATTGATAAGGACCAGTGTATTATTGGGAGCATCAGAAAACAGGTAATTCCAGGGATTTAACTACAGAACAATCTCACCATAAATTTAAAACCTTTTTTTTTTTTTTTTTGAGATGGAGTCTTACTCTGTCACCCAGGCTGGAGTGCAGTGGCACAATATTGGCTCACTGCAACCTTCGCCTCCTGGGTTCAAGCAGTTCTCCTGCCTCAGCCTCCCCAGTAGCTGGGATTACAGGCACACACCACCATGCCTGGCTAATTTTTGTATATTTAGTAGAGACAGGGTTTCACCATTTTGGCCAGGCTGGTCTTGAACTCCTGACCTTGTGATCCACCCACCTCAGCCTCCCAAAGTGCTGGGATTACAGGCGTGAGCCACCGCACCCAGCAAAGAAAAACATTTTTTTTAAACCTGCACAGTCTTTGACCTGGCATCTTCACTTCTGGAAATTTATTCCAGGTCAGGCACAGTGTCTCATGCCTGTAATCCCAGCATTTTGGGAGGCCGAGGTGGGCAGATCACCTGAGGTCAGGAGTTCGAGACCGGCCTGACCAACATGGAGAAAATCCGTCTCTACTAAAAATACAAAATTAGCCAGGGGCAGTGGCTCATGCCTATAATCCTAGCACTTTGGGAGGCCAAGGCAGGTGGATCACAAGGCCAGGAATTCAAGACCAGCCTGGCCAAAGGGGTGAAACCCCATCTCTACGGAAAATATACAACATAAATTAGCTGGGTGGTGTGCGCCTGTAGTCCTGGCTACTTGGGAGGCTGAGGCAGAATAATCGCTAGAACCCAGGAGGCAGAGGTTGCAGTGAACTGAGATCGCACCACTGCATTCTAGCCTGGGCGAAAGAGTGAAACTCTGTCTCAAATAAATAAATAAATAAAAAGTACAAAATTAGCCAGGGATGGTGGCACATGTCTATAATCCCAGCTACTTGGGAGGCTGAGGCAGGAGAATCGCTTGAACCTGGGAGGCTGAGGTTGTGGTAAGCAGATATCATGTCATTGTACTCCAGCCTGGGCAACAAGAGTGAAACTCTGTCTCAAAAAAAAAAAAAAAAAAAAGCATAAGAAAAAAAAAATGTGTTCTAAGGAAACAGTTAATTGGGCACAGACATTTGTACAAGAATATTTCCTATAGTATTGTTTAGAATATTGAATATTTGAAAATAATTCAAGGTTGGGTGTGGTGGCTCACACCTGTAATCCCAGCACTTTGTGAGGCCAAGGCTAGAGGATTGCTTGAGCTCAGGAGTTCGAGACCAGCCTGGGCAACATGGGAAAACTGTGTCTCTGCTAAAAATAGAAAAATTAGCCAGGTTTGGTGGTACATGCCTGTAGTCCCAGTTACTCAGGAGGTTGAGGTGAGGAGAATCACTTGAACCTGGGAGGCAGGGGTTACAGTGAGCCAAGACCTAATGCCACTGCACTCCAGCCTGAGTGACAAAGTGAGACTTTATCTTGGAAAAAAAAAATGAAGACAGGGCGTGGTGGCTCACGCCTGTAATTCCAGCACTTTGGGAGGCTGAGGCAGGTGGGTCTCGAGGTCAGGAGTTCAAGACCAGGCTGGCCAAGATGGTGAAATCCCTCTCTACTAAAAATACAAAAATTGGCCGGATGCAGTGGCCTGCGCCTGTAATCCCAGCTACTTTGGAGGCTGAGGCAGGAGAATCGCTTGAACCCAGGAGGCAGAGGTTGCAGTGAGCCGAGATCACACCACTGCACTCCAGCCTGGGCGACAGAGTGACACTATCCCCCCAAAAAAAAAAAGTTCTCTAATAGAGAATTAGTTAAATAAATATGGAAGGCTACGCCCCTATTAAAGAGCATAAGGCAGGTTTCCATGTATTTACATAAAGGATATTTATGATATGGATTTTTATTATTATGGAACATCTGCAATATATACAAAGGTAGAGGAAATGTATTACAGTGAGCTCTCATGCATTCCTACTCCAGCTTCAACAATTACTAACAGTGGGAAGTCTTGTTTCAGTTATACTTCCACTTCCTTACTTTTTTTTCTTTTTGTTGAGATGGAGTCTCGCTCTGTTGCCCAGGCAGGAGTGCAGTGGCACGATCTTGGCTCACCGCAACCTCCACCTCCAGGTTCCAGTGATTCTCCTGCCAAAGGCTCCCAAGTAGTTGGAATTGCAGGCACCCACCACCACACCCGGCTAAGTTTTGTATTTTTATTTTGTATTTTTATTTATTTATTTATTATCTTATTTATTTATTTATTTTGAGACTGAGTTTCATTCTTGTTGCCCAGGCTGGAGTGCAATGGCACGATCTCAGCTCACCACAACCTCCATCTCCCAGGTTCCAGCGATTCTCCTGCTTCAGCCTCCC